GTAGTAGTAGTCTTAGTAGTAGTAGTAGTAGTAGTAGTAGTAGTACTAGTACCAGTAGTAGTAGTAGTAGTAGCAGCAGCAGCAGCAGCAGTAGTAGTGGTAGTAGTAGTAGTAGTAGTGGTAGCAGGAGTAGGAGTAGGAGTAGCAGCAGCAGTAGTCATAAGTTTCCTCTGAATGTCAAAGCTTCGCCGGAAAATGCTCAACATTTTGCTGATGTGGAAGCATCACCTATGTCAGGCTGCCAGACCGGACTGGGGTGACGAAATGCTGTGTTACGTCTTCTGCCAAACCCCCCACCAATTTGATTTTCGCCAATGCCCCAAGACACGCAAACGTGAGTTTGAAATGCTTTCCAGCATGCTCAACCAGGCAGAAAAACATTAGCGGCATTAGGCTTGTTTTAGCAAAGTTCCACAACGTCTCACAGCTGGGTGCCGTCTGTAAATCGTCGAACCAAAACATTCAAAGACGATCCTCAATGCATCCAAGCAGCAGCATCTGAAGCGTCTCTTCGGACCTGGCTCTGAAGGGTTGTTACCGACTCTTATCCATCAGAGCCAATCATAACCATCGCTCTACTCCAAGCCTCATATGACTGCCACGATGGCAGCGATGTCGACGGTCTCAACGAATACTGCAACGACTAAGTGATTACCGCAAGACCAAGAGCACAAAAATCGAGACACAACTAGAAAATGCTGCTGGTACAACCAGACAATCAGTAGCGGCACTGGCGACGGTGGCCGCCACCAACATGCAAAGCACGAGCACGACCACCACGACGACCGCAGTCACCCCTACGAGGAACGACGATCAACAATGGCCTCCAGGACCACTGCCCAAGCTGCTCCACAGTTGCAGAAAATGGAAGCAACAGCAAACCCAGTTACACCAACAAACAGACCCGCAACAATCAACTCAACACCACCAGCAGACAACCAGACTGATTACACCAAAGGACCGGGTCCCTGCGCGGAGCAGCAGTCATGAAAAGCAAACGGCACAGGCTGAACATTTAAACTGATGAGCTTACCTGCGCGATACTGGTTCATGGGGGCTTGGTCTGTTGCTGAAAGTACAGTTGGCAGTGGACGAGATCCAGGATGGACCGAGTGACACGATGTGCAGTCGCGAAGCTTAGCACAAGTAGAGCTGCTCCTCTTGCCTCTGGAAGAGGGGTCCATGAGAGTACTCTCCACAAATGGTAGAGGAACTTTCATGTTCGGGGTACCGGAGGTTTCACAACTTGGTCCCGGTACTCGGTAACAAGAAAGGGAGGAGCCTTGGGTTCTAAACAAGCCTCCCCGAGTCCCCGACCCCTGCATGTCTAGAATCCAGAAGCACAAGAACAAGAGCCACATTGAAAATTCTCATCCCCCCTAAACCCTAAACCCTAAACCCACCCTCTACTCGAAGTATCCGAGCCGTCCGTTGGTTGAGGTGGGCCTCCTGCTCCTGCCTTTTGCTGCATCGGCTTCGACGCTGTCATCATCCTGTCTCGCATCAAACACTAGGTGCTCCATCCACTTGAACCTTCACAAGACTGCTTTGCAGCCCGTTCTTTCGATTCAATAAACTATACCACTGGACGATTGCATCACGAAGTCGAGTCTGACGTGCAAATGTCCAGTTTCGAAAGCAGCTCCGTACAGATTCGTACCTCCAAAAATCCCTCCAGGAGCACGGTTGCCGCATCTTGACACGGAAGTCCACAGTTCGACTTACTTGAACCCTCTTGCCTGAAGCCTCAAGAATCATGAACAGAAACCCTCGAAGTTCTCAACACCTTCTTTGGAAGTGGCCTCCTGCCCATGGCAGAAGGGCGTCACGGCTTCTTGGGAAGATCCTGCAGCGAAGCTTCCAGTAGCTCAAAAGGCAGCTCTGTGGCGAAGCAGAAGTAGCCGAAGTCCCCTCGTCTCTTATCCCCAGAACTCGAATTCCAGAGAAGAAGGTCATCGAGCCCTGAGGCCCTGATTTTGATGTACACTGGGCCGGCTCCGCCTGCTATAGCATCAGTGGAGTTGTGGGGACTAGAAGTGTATACTGTATACTCACTCCGGGCGGATTGCGCCCAGGTGACTGGATTTCAGCGAAAGTCTTGGATCCTCACCCAGACGCCCACTTGACCTGCAACCACCCTCTACAAAGCACAGTCTCTTTGCGGTCTTTGTGAGCAGAGTATGAAGACCCGACCGACATCCCGCATCACCGTGATGCCGGATAACCCACCCGTCCAGTCCACAGGATGAATGTCAAGAGTTTTATCGGATGCCGTTCTTTCGTGTGTCCTGACTCGTTGAAGCGATCGAGCAGCTGCAGTTCTGCGCAGGTAACAAAGAATGCCATCGGAGACCACGCCTTCCGGTGGCGGGGCTTTCATCGCCGCCTCCTGTGCGAGCTGGCCGCGAAACGAGGGGCGAACGCAAACCGTGTTGAATCGATTCATGTCGAGTCCTCGTGCCTTTCCTTCTTGCGAAGAACCTCTGACTCTTCAGGGATGCCTCAAGCCTCAATCTGTTGAGGGGGCCAACTCCTGCACAAAAACCTTGGTCACCAGCCTCAGCGGGTAGAAAAAATAAACCTCCCTCTCTCTCTCTCTCTGCATTCACTCAGTCACCATCTAGCTATCGATCTGCCTATCTTTCTAACTCTCTCTCTCGCTGCCTATCTACACATTTACATATTACCGTCTATACATATTACACACACACAGAGTTGACTATAACCAGCTCATCTAAGTCCCAGCTCTGTTGACCTTGTTGTAAGCGCATACCCTTCAGACTTTCAAGGGCCAGGAATTCTTGGGCTAGAAGGCGTAATCGTTTGGAAAATGAACTGGCAACACAAATTTGCTCTTTGGACACTCTGAAAAGCTTACGACAGCTTCAAAGCACACAGCTAGTACTGACGGCTTGGCCCACAGCACATCATCTGGGAGAGTATCAGCTTCTCCGTGAACCAAGTGAAAAACACACCATTAAACACAAGCCGGCCGACTGATGGCGACAAGCACGACCATGACCAAACTTCAAACACTTGAATGCTCGTACTGCCCTGTGCTGCAACTAAGAGGATTAGGCATAATACCAGCAGTACTGACACTAGTTTGCCATGGTGTAATCTTGTATTCTCCGTCGACCCGCTCCCTTCCTCGAGAGCCATGAGAGTTGTAGTCCCAGGTGCGGCCTCTGCATGGTGACCATCAGTGGCGGTTGTGCTGACGACGCTGCTACCACTGCTGCTAGAGCTGAAATAACAACGAATCTACGAAGATTATCGTTAGTCGCCATAATCGTCACCGTCGTCATCATCAGCATCATCATCAGCATCGTCGTCAGATTCATCATCAAGATCAACATCATGCCCGGAAGCACTGGAAGCAGCAGTTAGTATCGAGAATGAGCAGAACCCATCAAGAAAGAACAACCTACCCAGACCGCCGGTCCAAAGATCCATCTCCCGAGCTTGACCATTCTCTCACTCAAAACTTGTACGAGCAGCTTCCCTACAATGATTGCAGATGATCGTAGTCAGCAATAAGGCGGCGTTGTAAGTCTACCAGGGAAACGCGAGACACCAAGCACTGTACTGTGGTGGAGCGCAGGCGCAAGAGCATCAGACATGAAGCAAGTAGCGGTAGCAGCATATAAGACGCGATGGTAAAGTGCCAAGGAATCAGCCTCCTATGTTCCCCACGAAATCCAACGTCTAGGCATCGGGCGCGAGATCTCCGTGGCGTTTCGCACAGGCGTTGGTCGTAGAGACCCGGCATCCTACCTAGAGCGCACAGCCACTTCCACATGATGGTGCGGATACAGTGAACTAAGGCTTGAGATCGGCCAGCATGGCCGAAGCCGAACGCCCAGTGGCTGTGGCTTCTGGTCAATCCTGAACCTACTCCGTCTTTTAACTTTGTCAAGCGCCGTAATTCAGGCAGCAACGGCAACAGTGAAAACTGAAACACTGGCAGCAACAGCAACAGCGGCACGTATGTCATGTTGTCTCCGAAGGCAAGCAGGGCCGGATGCGGCAATCTTTCGCATAATTTCATCACTTCTGGTGCTGCCGACAGTGTTAATTTACTGCCATCGGTAGCATGTTTGATGTTGTCTCTTTCTTGGTTTGGGACCATAACTGTGTCACGTGTTTACAGATATAGGATTCCTGTCGAGCATTGTTCTATGTTGCCTGGATGTGGGCAACTTGTGCTGCTCTGCTGGATCAGGACAGCCCACGTCGAGGCCGGGCTTTGCGTAGCCTGACTTTGCTGCTGGCCTTATCATCAATATCATACATGCCTTGTTCATCATTGCCCTCACCATCACCCATCATCACCACCACCACCACCACC